ATAAAGTGATAGTACAAAAAGATGGATTTAGATCTATAATGTAAGGCATACCGTTTTTCCTTTCGGTTACAAGCAGTGGCAGCATGCGAGGTGCTTGCTTTCCCTGGGCCCTGCAGATGACAAGTGAAGGCTTCCCAGGAGGAGAATGGGTGGCTGTGTGTATCTTGCAATTCATAGGTGACAGTGGCCACCACTGTGGGCTCTTTTCTTTCTTTTTTTCCTCTGCCAGTCCTTTCTACATCACTCCTCTAATAATAAAATATCAGCTTATTATTGCTTTTTCTTGTAAAGCTTAGGAGAAAATTCTGTTACCAATAGTTACAAAAGCAATTTGTTTTAGAAAAGTTTGTGTGGAGAAGGGGAAGGGAGAGAGAGAGAGAAAGAATATACACTCATTTATTCTGTGTTTTATGTCGAGTGGCTACTGTGCACTGAAGATAGAACAGTATCAAGGCCATCAGTACCTTCCTGGAATTATTGGTGTTTGTGGAATCATTTCTCAATTAAAGCAGTTACAATGAATAATACTAAGGAAGTGCATGATGAATGTAACTGGCGTACCTACACCAAATCTGGGAATTCAGAAAGACTTCTCCAAAAATGGGACATTTATGGTGTATTTAAGGACAGTCTGGAGCATGTTTAAATACTGGGGAGAGGTAGCTAGCAGAGATGGAGGGCTGAAGATCGAGTAGAAGAAGTCACAGGTAGCATGTGGTTACAAAGAGGGCAGGTGAGAGCATAGGTGGCAAACTAGGCCTTGGTAAGTAAGAGAAGGGTGCTTCTTCCTTGGAACCAGAAGCTGAGATAATGAACATAATTGCAGGGAGGTTTGTACAATAGAATCTGTGAAGAGATTGAGGGAGGTTCTGTTGGAAGGCTTCTATAATTTGGGTAATGTCTTACTCGTGCTAGAACCAAAGGTCTGAGAAGAGTAGAGCATTTTGACATAACTATAGCATGGAGTTGGTCAAAGTCCAGGTCTAGTCGGTCCTTCAGGGATTTTCTCCCCCCAAGGTGGTTGATAATGCTTCAGTCCTGTGACCTCTGCTCTGGAATCCCTTAAGTACTAAACCGTGGACTTTGTGAGTGAGTTGGTGAATACATCTTAATATTCCTTAAAGGAAAAATGACACTATAGTGTAGCATTATGTAGTTTCTGCCAAGAGCACTGAACTGATCTGTGCTCTGTGAAAAGTCACCTTTCCCATCACAGAGCCTGACTGAGTGAACACGGATAGAGGGGGCACTCGCAAGTCTGGGGAAATCCTGGCCTAGGTTTTCCCATATAACCATCACTTATCTAAAACATGACATAATGATCCTATGTTTTTATTATTAACTTTCAGTACGTTATACTTGGCCTACTAAAATATATACTTGCTTAGAGCTTATTTCTAGTTCTTTATGACTATTGATATTAAATAGTAAATGCCTGCATGTGCTATGACTGCTGTATTTGGTCTGCACACAGAGAAAGCCATTTAATTCTTTTTAAAAAGATTTTATTTATTTATTTTTAGAGAGGGGGGAAGGGAGGAAGAAGGGGAGGGGAGAAACGTGGATTGGTTGTTTCTCGCACACCCCAAACCAAGAACCTGGCCTGAAACCCAGGCATGTGTTCTGACCAGGAATCTGACTGGCAGTGTTTCAGCTTGTGGGACGGTGCCCAACCCACCAAGCCATAGCAGTCAGAACACAATTTAATTAAAAAAAAAAAACATTGTTATTGACTGATTTTATATATATATATATATATATATATATATATACACACACACACACATATATATCCACTAAATATATGTACTATATATAATATAAATACATTTTATTTATATGTATACATATACATACATTTTAACAAGTTGCATGTACCCAAATACATTTTTTTAGAGTGAGGAACGGCTCAAACCCAGGTGATAATCATTCCAGTGCTTTATATGTTACTACATTATTACACTAGATTATAAATGTCGTGAGCAGAGTGACAGTGTTGGTTTGCCACTACATATTCATTGCCTGGCATGTAATTGATATTTAGTAAACATGAGTGAATTAAGGAATGAGTAAAAGAACCACACTACCTAACTGGCATATAATATTCATTATAAATACATTTTACAATGGAAACTCACTTCAACCATATTGACTGATTGCTTACTTTGTACAACATATTTCTCTAGTATGTTTTATTGAGATTTACCATAAAAGGATAAATAAAATGTGGGCCCAGACCTACAGGAATTTATAGCTGCCACAACCATCTGCATAACAGGGTAAGGCATGGTAAATTCCCTGACACACAAGAGTTATGAACAAAGTGTTACACGGAATATGGAAGCCATCATGAAAAAGATGGCATTTATGCTGCATGTTTAAAAACAAGATGATATTTTATGTGAAGGTAAGCTTAAAAGACATTTCAGTTGAACTAAACAGAATGTGTAATTTTATGGGTATTTTATAGTGTTAATGGTTTTATTTTCTTCTTAAACAGTCCATTGGACTGAGAAGTGGAAGGAAGTAACAAAATATTAACACTAAAAAGAAGCTGGTAAATAAGGGAATGGCAAGTAGGGTTTACTCAACAGGCTTCTCTGGACAGGAAGGTGACAGAATGTTTTTGTTTTTTAAAATGGTATATTAAAATCTATTATAGAAAAATGATTATAACTTCTAAATGTATATTAACAGGTCAAAATTATTCATATCCACTGGTGATGTTCTAATCACATCTGAAGAAATCAGATCTTTCAGAAGCCCTAGAAACAAAGATTTGGTTCATTGGTCAGAGGGCATCATTTTCTCTCATGTTTATCCTGCTAGAAATGAAAAGGCATAGTACTGTTTTGAGAGCTGATGAATTTGGCTGTAAAAAAATTGCTAGCATACAAAGAAAAAGTATATGGTGCCTTAAGGTTGAAGTTCTGAGGAGTCAAAGTTTCTTAACACCCCACATTCTCTTTAAAATGTCACCTATGTATGCTCAAATACTTCTCATTTCTGAGCTGATAATTGTAGTAGTTTATTGTACCTCAAAGTAGTCTAAAAAGAACAACAGTGAAATAATGGAGAAAATGAGAGGTTTCTGTGTGTCTAGGATATAAACAAATCCTGGTATTGCCTTAAGGATGAGATGTTCCTTAGGGGAGGCTTTTGGGAATCATTGAGGAAACCTCTTCATTCCAAGATGACTTTTGAAATAATGTTAATTTGTTAACTCAGTTGAAATGTTTTAAGGAAAATGAACTGAATGAGGACAAAGAGTGACTACAGAGATTAAAATCGTGGTGCACTGAATAATTTATATCATTTCTACTATAATTACTATTATCATCAATTTTAAAATTAGAGATAAAGCTTGGGAAAAGTGGAAAATGTCACTGCGCCCATAGAAATTGTACAGGAGTAGGCAAAAGTAGGTTTAGAGTTGTGAGTACATAAAACAGAATTTATTCTTATGTTATTACTTATTAAGTATCATATTACTTACTTGTATTACAGCTGTAAACCTATTTTTGCCCACCCTGTATTATCAGGTGGGAAGAATCTTTCTCTCTTTACCTCAAGTCTTTATGTAGACAATATTCCCACCATACATTTTTGGCATAATAATATGTTTGTACATAGTGACTGATACTTTTATTCAGACTAGCAGATATACAAGAAAGATTCACATGTGTAAGACATTTTACTCATAAGATTTATCTTTCGTTCTTATATGGGATGAATATAAATGTTATAACTCTCAAGACAGAGTATTCGCATTTGATGTCGGTGGAACTTTCACATTAGTAGATAAGATAAAATATTTAGGGAATAGGAGAGATGGGAAATGAGCACATTAACAATTTTGTGTTATATGCAGCTCATAATTGTAGCTCTGTGAAGAGCTCCCACTGAGTCGATGGGAACTGTGGGTGGAGTTAGTGCCAGGTTAATTGTTGCATTCAACATCATGCAGAAGAGAAAGTGGAGATAAAATTGCAGCATTTATATTCCTGCCCTCTAATTTCTCTTCATCTGTGTACTTGTTATATTTTTCTTTACTCGTTATTACTTATATTTCATGTCTGGTATTTTTCCTCCCCTGACTCCTTGGGTTATTGAAGACATATTATAAAGCTGACTTCCAAGGCATTTTAAAAATAAAGAAAATACCACCCATCTATAGTGGTATTTTCACATTTTCAATAGAGAGTGAAAATATAGTTCCAAGGAAAATACTACCAAGTGACCTCACTGAAAAATAGATTTTGTGAGGAGAGGCATTTTACTAAATGCCTCCATGGCATGCTAGAGATTGTGGCGTACCACCAACGCCAAGCCTGCAGGTAATTTTAATTATCATCTGACTGGTCATTTTTCTTTTTTAGTAGGTTTCTAGTCCATTGAGAGCCACCTACTCAATGACTATAGAAGTTTCTTCTATGTAAGGAAAGAACCTCTGGGTTCAAATATTCAGCTTCAATACTTTGGTTTCCGTATTTCCCAGGTCCTCATCTTTACCCCGTGGTCTCCATCTGGGTTGCAGTATAATAATACGTCAAGGGTGGTACTACCTACCTAACATCAGCTCCAGGTTTAAATTCTCTTTAACTTTGAGATTTCAGAATGTTGTCAATGCTTTTTCAGTACTTCATTCATTCAGTTTTTTCTGAAATTTCTGATATTTGTCTAAATTAAGGAATGCCTATATTTTGCTTCTCATCTACTGATGTAGTCTTTATGATTTCACTCTTCAAATTTTCTGCTTGTCTGTTTTCTTTTATTTTCATTATTTTTATCAATATTAATATTGCCTTTCCCAAAATCTTATTTTGTGAGATATCCCTTTGCTAAGGAAAGCATTTACACAAATCCTAAGGGAACTGAAGGTATTGAAAAGCAATATCAAACAACCTTTTGTGGACTGCAAATCGTAATGCTGATTAAATGCAAAAATCCTTTCTAAAGGGAAATAAACAAAGTTTTCTTTTTTGTCTTCATCTTTCAAGGAGAGTTCAGGAAAAACAACCTTCATCAGGTCACAAATTTTGTTGAAGCGTTTAGTGAAAAACAAATTAAATTGGTAAGCTATCATCACATATGTTTACTTTTTATTTTTATTACATTTTTTGTTCTATTATAGTTCTCCCAATTTTCCCCCCTTTGCTCTCCTCCACTCAGCTCACACCCCCCACCGTCAGCCCCCACCCTGTTGTCCATGTCCATGGGTCACTCATACGAGTTCCTTGCCCTGTTCCTTTCCCTTCTTTCCACCCTTCCCCCGCCCCCTCTATTTAAGTTTAAAATTGCCATTGCCTTGCTTACCTCACAAAGTTTTTTGACAGAGGAAAACTTATTCTGATTCTAAAAAATCACTTAAAAATCTTAACTTTTACAAACCCAAGCACATTCTTTTTTAATTAATTTTTTGCAGAGATTATATATCTTTTTAAAATAATAGTTTATTTTATTGTATATTTTTCCGTTACCATCATCCCCTTTGTGCCCTCTTCTACCTCCTCCGCTGCAGTTTCCGCCCTGTTGTCCACGTCTGCAAGTCTTTCCATTTTTGCTCCGTCCCTGCACCCCAAGCACCAACCAGCCCAGCCGTCAGCCTGCTCTCTCTCTCGAGTCTGTCTCAGTTTGGCTTATTATTGAGTTTGTTCATTAAATTCCACGTATGAATGAAATCCTATGATAATTGCCTTTCTCTGACTGTCTTATTTTACTTAACATAATATTTTCCATGGCCATCCATGTAAAATTTTGTTTTTTTTAACGGTCAAGTAGTATTCCATTACTTGAACGGTCAAGCGTACCACAGCTTTTTTATCCACTTGTCTACTGATGAACACTCGGTCTGCTTCCAAATCTTGGTAATTGTAAATAATGCTGCCTAGAAAATACTAGAAGAAAACATAGGCAATAAAATCTTGGATATTGCTGGTGGCAATATTTTTTCTGATATCTCATCAGGCAAGGGAAGCAAGAGAAAAAAATAAGCAAATGGGACTACATCAAACTAAACAGTTTTTGCACGAAGAAAAGCATCAACAAAATGAAAAGTCAACCCACTATATGAGAGAACACATTCACTGATATGTCTGGTAAGGGATTAACTTACAAAATTTATAAAGAACTTATAAAACTCAACACCAAAAAAATAAATAAAATAAACAATCCAATAAAAAAGTGGGCAAAGGACCAAAATAGTCATTTCTCTAAAGAGGACATACACATGACCAGTAGACACATGAAAAGATGTTCACTGTCACTAATCATTAGAGAAACACAAATGAAAACTACAATAAGATATTACCTCCCACCTGTCAGATGGCTATATGAACAAATCAACGAACAACGAATGTTAGTGAGGATGTGGAGAAAGGGGAACCCTAGTGCACTGTTGGTGGGAAGGCAGACTGGTGCAGCCACTGTGGAAAGCAATATGAAGATTCATCAAAAAATTAAAAATGAAACTGCCTTATGACCCAGTGATTCCATGTCTGGGAATTTATCCAAAGAACCCAAAACACTAATTCAAAAGAATATATGCACCCCACGCACACTCTGTGGTTAAAAGGCTTATATAATTATGTTGTTCTTAGGCTTATTGATGATTTTGATTTTTCTTTTATGTACATGGACACTATGACTCTTATATTCATTTTCTTGAATAGACAAAAAAATTAATAATGTTTAAACTAATTAAAATATGTTAAAGATGCCTTTCTAAAACTTGACGACATCCTTATCTCCATCCGATGAACTCTTCTCAGTGGGCACTGGCTTACTCATCGAAGGAATGTAAATGTGTTTCCTTCAGGATGAGAGGTCGCTGACCTTCTTTATCTTCTTGGCCTGCAATCCCTACCCACTGCAGGATTCATTTAATAATATTCTGGTGATACTTGTGACTTTGAAGTTTTCATTTGGACACAATAGTGCTTAGGTGAACTATTGTATAATTCAATTTGTATCATTGGATCATTTAAAAGTTGCAATCCAGGGATTCTTTTAAAAAATTATAAGTGCAGAAATATAAAAATAGACTCAGACGACTGCAGTTGATCCCCCAGCTTTTATCTAGCATTAACATAAAGTATCTCCATGGCAAACAAATGCATTTACCAAGTTCAAATAAGATTTTTATAATCCTCATCTTGTGCCAGAATTTTTTATCCATTAGGTTTCTAAAATGTAAATATCAAGACATAATTCTATGCATCTTTAATTTTTCAAGGTTTTAGGCAAATGGCCTAGTTCCACTAATTAATATTGGGCATGTTGCTGAGAGTTAAACCAACCCTGGGAAATGTGGAAGTTCCTTACTCATTTAAAGGACAAAAGCTGAACATTGACAAAACCATATTTTGGTTTAGCTTTTTTGTTTTGTTTTTTATCCTCACATCTAACACATGAAAAGTGATTAGGGCTTGTCTGAATAGGCAACCGTACTAACAAAAATATATTTCTAAATATTTATATTTTATAAAAGATTTTATTTATTTTTACAGGGAGGGGAAGGGAGGAAGAGAAAAATCCCTGTGAAAGAGATACATTGATCAGTTGCTTCTTGCACACACCCCCTACTGGGGACCTGGCTCACAACCCAGGCTGTACTAGGAATCGAACTGGTGACCTTTGGGTTTGTAGGCTGGCACTCAATTCACTGAGCCACACCAGACAGGGCTCTAAGTATTTATACCTTAAATTTTGTGTACTAAACACCTGCTATATCTGTGCAATATAGCAGGTGGATTTGTTCCACCTAAAAATTTCTGAAACCTAATGAACAGATAAGTTATCTGTATTTGGCACATTTCAGCACTGTTAGGGAGGGCTGACTTCTGCTTACATTGCATTTGCTTTACAAGCTGGCTGTGATTTTGCAAATTACAGTGAGATTGCTTCTTCCCAGGGTTAAGTTCCAAAGTCCTCTGCTAAGGCAAAATTGCCCTTGAAATCCTTTATGTCACTCATAAAACTTGATTTAGGGTCTATACTTTTATATAGTAATTTGTAAGTGCATTAAACTTTGAGGAGTACTGTGCTAAAATTCAAACAAATTCTAAACCCTTGGTGGTGAATGACCCAGTGCTCAGTGACAATGTGGTTTGGAAATTCAGAGTTCCTGCTCTGAAATCAGTCTGGACTTTGACTCCTAGATCCATTGCCTACTACCTGTGTGTCCTCAGCTGAAGGACTCAGTATCACTCGCTCTGTTTCTGCATCTGTAAAATTGGATTATAATTGCACCTACGGAACAGGTCGTTGTTAACATCAAATGAGACCATCTATGTAAACTGTTTGAAACAGTGTCCGGAATGCAGTCATTGTGTTTGCTGTGCCTCCTGACTTTATGTTAACTGTGAAGCTCCTAATGGAGAACAAATGATGGATGAGAATGATAAACTATTGCTGTTTGCCTGAAGGATTTACTCCATTCTTTTTTAGTAAATCAGTTTCTGTAAACTTAATAAATATAAAGAAATTGTTCCCTGGGAGGAGGTAACAAGATAAAATGTCACCTGGCACCAAGTAGGTAATGTGTGCTGGATTTTAATCCAAATTGTGTATGAGCAGATGGAGGCGTGTACTATTCTTGGGAAAGGCATGGAGATGACCTTGACTGCCTGTGTCTATCGTTTTCGCCTGTCAGTATATTCTGAGGCCCCAAATGAGCAGGAATCAGTCTCATGCTCCTAAACACTAAATGCAGATTAAATAAGGGTTAGTTTCTAAATCCAACTGAAAAGTTAAATGTATGTACAGTGTAAGTCCACGGTGCTTATATCTCTCAGTTCACTTATACTGCATACAATTGTTTTCACTACTTCGCCAAAAAGCATCCCTGTCCATTATACCTAGCCAGGTTTCAATCTCATATCCACCCCAGATAAGGCAGAATTCCCCCCAAAATGCTTTCTCCAAGTACTCTGCCTTAGAGCCACTGGTTCTATGATCTACCCCACATTTCCCTAAGACACACAAACACATGGACCTTCTGTAACTGCAATTACTTAAACTTCTGCCCCTCTGTCACCAGCCCATCCACTGAGCATTGTCTGGTACGGACATCAGATATATGGGGGAGTCCCTGTGTCTGCTTGTGTGAGGACAAGTTGTATCTTTTCCTACCAGAAAGTGGTGGCAGGGGGATCCTCACATAACCCATCTGAATGTATCAGTCATTCAACCAGTATGTATCCAGTAGTGGGCATATCAGAGGCTGTGTGGTGCATTTAGGATGCCAATAAATGAAAAAGATCCACTGATTTTGTTACACTTCTGAGATGGTAGAAAAGAATGGAAACTATATTCATGAAAATTCGCTATAGTATATGTCACCAGTGCAACCCTGTAGATGGCCAGACCAGAATGTTTCCTACATAAATATGAAAGACTACTGAGCATTCAGGTGTATGAACTATTTGTATTTGAATGGCGAGTATAGCTACTTGAAAAATATAATATTTTCCCTGTTCTACTTTTCATCTATGAAGGAGAAAAGGTGCAAAAGTCTCACATTTTTGCTTCATTTTTCTCATTCTACCAAGTTTCCAAATGTGAAGTGAGTCTTTCATTTATATTTTAAATTAGAAAATGAGGAAAACACTTATGGATACTGCATCTCTGTGCCATATTTAAGTACAGATCATTATTTTTTTAATCACCTTTCACTGTGTTGGTCAAAGCTTATTACAATGATTTATAAATATCTGGACATTTTTTAATGTCATAACAATGTTGTCATAACAATGTTGTTAGCCACTGTGGCTGACAAATGATGATGGCTACAGTGGTTGAGGGCCTATTATATGCCAGGTAAACACAGAATATTCACGAACATTTTAAAATTTAGTCTCCCTTGTGTCTCTATCAAGAAGATGTTAATACTATTTATATACAGATAAGAAAATCAATACACAGAGAAGCTAAGGAATATACCATATTTTTCAAACTATGATGTGTCTGGAGTCTGCATCATAAGACACACTTAGGTTTTAGAGGAGGAAAATAGGAAAAAAAATTTGAAGCAAAAAATGTGGTAAAAAAAAAAGTGCCTTATAGTCCAAAAAATACGATAACCACTCTCTCTCATAACCCTGATTTCAAAACCACCTTCCTTTTCCTCTGCCCTACCCATACCTCTCAAAAAACTATATTTAAAAAACCACTATAATGAAAGAAAAATACCATATGATCTCACTTATAAGAGGGATCTAACGAACAAAATAATGAGCAAAATAGAACCAGGCACAGAAACAGCGAATAGACTTAACAGCTGTAAGAGGGGACTGATTGAAAGAAGGGGAAGGGACTAGACAAAGAACATACATGAAGGACTCATGGAGGTGGACAATAGTGCAGGGACTGACAGTGGAACTGGGGGGTGGGATGGGTGGAGGTAGGTGAAGGGAGAAAAAGTGGGACAACTGTAATATATAAACAATAAAATATTTTTAAAGCCCTGGCTGGTGTAGCTCAGTGGATTGAGCATGGGCTTGCAAACCAGAGTATTGCAGTTCAATTCCCAGTCAGGGCACATGCCTGGATTGCCGGCCAGTTCCCAGCAGGGGACACACAAGAGGCAACCATTGATATTTCTCTCCCTCTCTCCTTCCCTTCCCCTCTGAAGATAAATAAAATCTAAAAAAAAACCAAACAAACAAAAACACTT